GATTTTGTTTTGACCAACCAATTTCAAATCACGTTTCTGATTTTTTCACCATTGGATCGGGTTGAAATTTTGACTGAATATTTCTAACATCTTAGTCTTTAGTTTGAAGGGTGGAGATCGGATTTTGGAGGGCCGTAGTATTAGATTTCGAGCCCTGAACAACAACTCCGTTTTTGTGATTTCTCCTCTTTATTCAATTGGTTTGTTGTTGCTCTTGTTGCTATTGTTTGTCACTTGTTGTGTAGCCAATTTGAAAACTTTGTAATCCTCTTATTGTGATGGAGTTTTTTGGATCTTTGTGATCCCGTAGTTTTTGCGTTTGATTTGAATAGTTTTGCACAATAAAATTTGGTGTTCTTTATTTTCTTTATTTTCGAGTTTGCCTCTTCCTCGATATAATATATGCCAGCTGGACATGTCAATGACTGAAATATAATCACCACCAATGACAGTACTAGTGGCAATTTGCTTTTCGAGTGGCTGAATATATTGCTTAGGTAGGGTTTGAAGGCCCATTTTGAAAGACCCTTTACTCTTTGGCCTTCATTTACTATAAAGTAAACGTTAATGACATCGAAAGAACTGAGGTTATAGTAGAATTCAAACTTCAGGAAAAGAATTTAAAATTCGTATGGCTTTTTCTCCAATTTTGCCAAATTTTTAAGCTTTAGTTTACTTTTCAATTACTTTACGAACTTTATTTACATTTTACACAGAAATCCTAAAAATGGTCACATCGTACCAATAAGAGAAAAGAAAATAGTGTAACTGAATAACTTATTTAGTAGTTTAGGGGTAGGAGGTAACCAAAATTAGATATTTTGCTATAAATATTAAAAGGTATTTATAAAATATAATTTTTTTAAATAATATTTATTTAAAATAAATAAGGTGTTAACCTTTGCTATATAATGTAAAAATTCCTATCAATATTTACAAAAGAGCATGCAACTACTTTCATTTTTGCTCAGAGAACCCAATAGAGTTCTAGCCTTGAACCCGTTTGAGTTCGCTGATAAAAAGTAATTGGTAATAAGCATCAAGGGTAGAGAAAGCACTTTTATATGCTGAAATTAGTTTTATAAATAAACTATTGCATTTCTGAATTAAAGTCTTGAGATTTATATAAGCATTACTACAATTATAATAAGTGCAATGATTGAATAGAATGGTTATCAATAATAAACAAATTCGAAGTCCTGATAGACAAAATTCAAATTCATTCAAGAACATTACGAGAACTTTTTTTGGATTAGCTAATAATTCATATACTTGTTAGGGCCAAAACAGAAAACTCAGACAATAAAATCTACCCACCTCAATTTTCTCTTTCACATGAGCAAACCTATCCCTTATTCAGAGGCGGCTCAACCCGTTTGGCCATAAGTTTTGTCAAAATAAATTTGAGATTTATTTTCAAAACTCATGTTTGGTCATAAATTTTGCTCATATTTTGGCCAAATCCCAAATCAAAAATTTCAAAGTCCAAAATCAGCTATTGAGCTGAATTTGGGCCAAAATCCCAAAACTTGGGAATTATATACATGTTTTTTCAAAATAAAGTTGGAAAATATATTTTGAAAACGTATGTCCAAACACATTTTCATCTTCAAACCAAACTTCACCCAAATCAGATTTTTCAAAATAAATTTGGGATCTATGGCCAAACGCTAGCTACATGTGGCCTAAAGCGAAAATTTAAAAAGAGGCCTCAAAAGACATTTGAAGTTAAGAAATGCTTTTTCATATATAATCCATTGATAATTCTATTAGCTTAAGATTGAAAAATTGTCTAAAGAGCACTGAAAGAATAGAAGAAGATTCTACAAAATCATAGTTATAAACAAAATTGATTCAAGTTGAAGTGAGTTAGACAAAAATTAAGAAGTTGAGCCCATCCACCAAGCGTGAGGTAACAAAAAAGAATAATAAAAAATAGGAAGTAAATGCAAATTTAATAATCTACAATTTTTAGTACAAAATTTAAAAACTGACAACAAATGATTAAAACTAATTTATTTATCACTAATAATAAATACATAATTATTTATACTATATATAATTTGAGTAAATTTGGGGCCTTAGTTTTTTTGGGGCCTAAAGCCACTGCTTTAGTGGCTTTAGGGTTGAGCCACACTGCTATTGTTCCATCCAAGTCAAAAGAAAAAGGAAGAACGTAAAGCAAATTCAGGGGGATTTGCAGCCGTACCCTATATTTGTGCCACCTTTTAACTTGTACCCTATTTTTAAAAATTATTGATTGGCAGCCAGATGACAAAAAATACGTAATAATATGATACTTACACCCCTGATAAAATCGCGTGATCAACAACCTCATTCATGAAAAAAGATCTCCTCCGCTCCTCTCAGCAACTTTATAAAAAAACTAGAAACTTCATGTTAATGTAGCATGAAGTTGTTTCATGTTGAAGCTAAAACTTCATGCTAATATAGCATGAAGTTGTTTTACGTTGAAGCTAAAACTTCATGCTAATGCATGCTAAAGTTATTTATCTTGCAGTGTACAGTTTTTTCATGAGTGCTGAAGTTATTTAATTCATTTGCTAAAATTTCAGTTTAAACATGCTGATTATTTAGTTCATTTGCGAAAACTTCAGACTAAACATGCTTAAGTTTTTGTCTTGCAGTATGTAATTTTCTAATGAATTTTTGCTAATGCATGCTAAAGATATTTAGTTCATTTGCTAAACTTCAGTTTAAACATGCTGAAGTTATTTAGTTCATTTGCGAAAACTTCAGACTAAACATGCTTAAGTTTTTATCTTGCAGTATGTAATTTTCTAATGAGTTTTTGCTAATGCATGCTAAAGTTATTTAGTTCATTTGCTAAACTTCAGTTTAAACATGCTGAAGTTATTTAGTTCATTTGCGAAAACTTCAGACTAAACATGCTTAAGTTTTTATCTTGCAGTATGTCTTTTCTAATGAGTTTTTGCTAATGCATGCTGAAGTTATTTAGTTTATTTTCTAAAACTTCAGACTAGACATGCTTAAGTTATTTAGTTCATTATGCTTAAGTTATTTAGTTCATTTGCTAAAACTTTAGACTAAACATGCTTAAGTTATTTAGTTCATTTGCTAAAACTTCAGAGTAAACATGCTTAAGTTATTTAGTCCATTTGCTAAAACTTCATGCTAAAACATGCTGAAGTTTTGTCCTGTAGCCTACAGTTTTGTCAATAGTCCTGAAGGGCAAAATTATCTTTTTAAAACGCTTTTAACAAAAAAATGGGTACAGATGCAAATAAAAAAAATAAAAAGGGTATAAGTTAAAAGGAGGCGACCAACACTACAAAAAATTGGATTATTAATGGCAACATATAGCAGCGACCCTACAGGTTGCTACAGTAGCTATATTACTAGCAGCGACCTTAGAAGTAGCCGCAGAAGGATACTCTTTTAGCAGCGACTTAGTTTAGGTCGCCTCTAATGTGACTGAAATTTTTAGTCCCGCTCAAAATAGAATTTTGGCTCCAAATATTTTGTTGCGACTATGGCAAAGTCGTGCCTAGAACTCTCTTGCAGCGACTGGGTCGCTCCTATACACTTATAAAGAAATAGAAAATAAAAATTAAAATATTCTCTTTACCTTTTCTGGAACAGAAGCCCACAAAGCATAATAAAGGAGTACAAACTCTATGTACTCGGCACTCTCTCTCTCTACAAATCAGGTCTCCTCATCTAAAATTTCACCCAAATCAAAATCTCTCAAATCAAAATGTGAATCTCAGGTATTTTCAAATCCCTAATTTTTCATTTTTTTTTGTTGGGAAAGAAGTTCCTCCATTTTAATATCGATTCGTGAAGTTCCTCCGTTCAAATCCCTAATCCGACTTGAATAAAAGAAACGATTCTGTTCGTAATCGATTTCACCTTTCCTTCTTACATGTTACTATCCCATATCTAACTAAAACCCCATAAAAATTTATATAAGATATATTTACATTTGGGTATTTTGGTATAATGATTCTGTAAGACAAAAGTTTCAACATGCAGTTAGGGATAATTATTTTTTCAGCAATTTCACTTTTGTCTTCTCAGATTTCATCTCGAATTTCTCTGATTCATTTGATAATCTACAAGAATACCAAAAAAATCACACAGAAAGAATCATTTGAAGCGTATTTGGTGTTGTTATTTTTGATTCTCGGTCTTGACAGAATCTCAGCTATCTCTTTTCTTGGGTAAGTTAAAATCTTCTTCTTGAGAGACGTTTTACATGTCGGCATTCTATTCAGTTGAATTATTATATGAGCTTCGTAGGTTCTTTCACTTATGTCCCCTGTCGCAACAGTTTGTTTAACTCCTTAAATTATTTATGGAACAGTACATATATATGCTTTGAATATGACTTTCTCTCTGTCCGATGTGTATAATTTACATACTGTGGAAGCCAGGTGGAGCATGTAGACCGAGTTAAAGGGAATTCACAATCATAAACAAGGACTTTGGGTTGCCATGGGGTAAATATGATATTGCTTTAGCAAGTGATGATAGGATTAATGGGAATTTAATTACATATATGAAAGTGAGAGACCTCAAAGAGTTTGCTGAAGAAAGCTGCCGTATTCTGTATGTCTTTTTACAATATCAGAAGGCATGCATTCTTCACTTTTGTGATCCTTTATTTGGTCTAGAATAATATCCAAATGATGCTTATTGATACTAAAATATGCTTGGTTTCCTATTTAGATGATGCCTTATTATGCTGGATGTAACAATGTGAATATTGTATCAAACAAATCATCTCTAGTTTACCGAAATTGCATAGGCCCCTCCTTTGAGTTTCAAGAGGTTATCGTGCAAACCTCATAAATCTTTAAGAGGAAAAAATTGCTGCAATAATTCTCATTTTATTGATAAGTGATTTGATTTGTTCATCTTTCTTTGGTATGTTAGTTATTATAGATATTTTGATTATTATCATCCTTCCCCTTTTAATTAGGTAATTCATGTTTTTATTTTTTAAAATAGATATGATGGATAAAAGTTGGTTGAATATTCGGAATAGAGTCGACCAAAGGTATAGAGATGGAGTAGACAACTTTCTTAATTGGGCATTCAGTCAACCAACTGTGAACACTATGATTCGGTGTCCTTGTAAAGGGTGTATGAATACTGTGTTCAAGGTAAGGGTTGGTGTAAGAGGAGATTTATTGAGGAAGGGTTTCTGGGATTCTTATAAAGTGTGGGACTTGCATGGAGAAGTGTTAGTTAGAGCTGAAACTTCTAATACTGCAGTTAGTGATGAAGCAGAAGATGATAGCATTGAAGAGGATAATATTATTGAAATGATTCACGATGCTTGTGGATATACGAATGTGGAGAATAATAATAGTAATAATTCCGTGGACAATGAAGAGCCAAATGTACATGCAACAAAGTTCTACAAATTGTTAGAAGATGCTAAGACAGAACTTTATCCTGATTGTAAAAAAGTCTCGAAGTTGTCTTTTGTTGTTAAACTACTTCACTTGAAGTGTCTTAGCCATTGGAGCAACAAATCGATGGATGCATTATTGAGCTTATTTAAAGAATTTCTTCCCGAGGGGTCCTTTATGCCTAATTCTTTCTATGAAGCAAAGAAAGTTCTTTGTGACCTCGGCTTGGGGTACAACAAAATAGATGCATGTCGGAATGATAGTATTTTATATTGGCGTGATTATGCCGGTGTCCAAGCATGTCCTAAGTGTGGTAAGTCTAGATGGAAGTCCGAAGAACACGGAGGAAAGAAAGTAGCTCATAAAATCTTGCGGCATTTTCCAATCAAACCAAGGCTTCAAAGATTGTACATGGCAAGAGAAACAGCTAAAAAGATGAGGTGGCACAAGGAGGGAAATGTTGATGATGGTGTCTTGCGACATCTATCTGACTCAATAACATGGAAATCCTTTGATGCACGGCATCCCACCTTTTCAGCCGAGTTAAGAAATGTTCGATTAGGTTTGGCGAGTGACGGGTTCCAACCTTATGGGAACATGAGTTCTAATCATAGCATTTGGCTAGTCGTACTAGCTACGTATAACTTGCCACCATGGGATTGCATGAAAAATCCATATTTCATGATGACACTTCTTATTCCAGGCCTCAAGTGTCCAGGCAATGATATCGATGTATATTTACAACCAATGATTGAAGAGTTGAAAGAATGATGGGACGGGGTGGAGACTTATGATGCACACTCAAAATCTAATTTTCTAATGCGTGTGGCTATCATGTGGACGATCACTTTCAGGATGGTCAACCAAAGGCAAGCTTGCATTCCCTTGTTGCCATAAAGATACACAATCGACTTCCTTGCATAGTAAGTTGTGTTATATGGGTCATCGTCGCTTCCTTCCCATGGACCATCCATGGCGGAGAAGTAGGACGTTATTTGATGGGAAAGTTGAAATGGGAGTTGCACCTAACCCTTTAACAGGTGATGAAACACTTGTGCAATTACAAGCTTTGGGTAATGTGAGTTTTGGTAAAGGACAAAAGAGAAAGCTTGATGTTCATAGCAATGCTTACAATTGGAAGAAGAAAAGTATCTTTTTCCAATTGCCTTATTGAAAGAGTCTTATGTTACAACATAACCTTGATGTGATGCACATCGAAAGAAATGTGTCCGATAATATTATATCAACTGTCCTGAATATGGTTGGAAAGACAAAAGACACATTGAAAAGTAGATATGACTTGATGGATCTTGGAATCAGACAAAGATTGCATCCTATTGAGGATGGGAATAATATTTTGTTACCGGCAGCATGCTATGCATTGTCCACGGAAGAGAAGCTGAAGGTATGCAGTTTCTTAGCTAATCTGAAGGTTCCTGATGCATTTTCCTCAAACATTTCAAGGTGTGTCAACGTACAGGAGAAAAAGATACATGGATTGAAATGTCACGATCATCATGTATGTTGCAAGACATTTTTCCAGTAGCTATACGTGGTTTGCTACCCGAGGAAGTGTGTGATCCAATTATAGCCTTAGGAAAGTTTTTCAAGAATATATACTCTAAGTGCTTGACGATTGAAGATCTTGATATCCTAGAGGCAGAAATTCCTGTTATTTTGACCAAACTTCAACTTGTTTTCCCTCTGGCTTTCTTTGATGTCATGGTTCATTTGCCAATTCACTTGCCAAGTGAGGCAAAGCTTGGTGGACCAGCTCAATATCGAAATATGTATCCTATTGAGAGGCAATTTATTATTTAATAATTTCGATGCTATAGTTTTAGAATGACACACATTATACTAATAAGTCATTTTTTATAGGTATCTACGAACACTTAAGTCATATGTTCGCAATAAAAATCGTCCAGAAGGTTCAATTGCAGAAGGTTATTTGGTAGAGGAAAGCCTCACATTTTGCTCACGATACTTGAAGAATATCTCAACAAAGTTCAATAAACCAACTAGGAATGACGATGGATCTGTGTCAAATGATGAGATGTATATCTTTAAAAAAAGTGGGCAAACAAAAGGTGCCTCAGAAGGCATCACGCTATCTCATGATGAGTTTAAACAAGCATGTATGTATGTGCTTCAAAATTGTGAAGAGGTTTCACATTTCATGGAGTAAGTCTCTTATTAACTTCAAGATAGTTTCACATTGAGATAATTTAAATCTGATTTATCTTGGCTAACTTAAAATGTAGGGAATATACAAGAGAGATTGAAAGCCAAAGTTCAATGAGAGCTCATAAAAATGGGTTTCTTGATTGGTTTCGCGCACGTGTAGGTGTCTACTCAAATGATAATATTGATATTAGTTTATTCATCCCATCATGTTATTGGTCATAACAATATTGTTCGTCTTTGTAGATATTTGTACTATCTGCACAAGGACGCGCAAATGATGAGCTCATAAGCTTAGCCGTCGGTCCTTCACCGTTAGTACATCGATATTCAACATTTGTAGTGAATGGATTTAGATTCCATACAAAAGAGCTTGCATTGAGAAGAAAAACGCAGAATAGTGGTGTTCTTGTGAGAGGAGATGATTCAGACTCTAATAAGGAGTATTATGGTGTATTAGAGGACATTTATGAGTTATCTTATGTGGGAAACAGAAAAGTTTACTTATTCAAGTGTCATTGGTGGGATGTGGCTCGCTTAGGAAGAGGATATAAGATTGACAAATATGGCTTCACAAATGTGAATACTCGGTGTGCCTTGAATACAAATAAGCCATTTGTGTTGGCATCTCAGTTAGAACAAGTCTTTTACTTGGACGACATGGTCGATAATGATTGGCTTGTTGTTGTGAAGACAAATCCTCGTGACCTTTTCAAAATGCCTGATAATGATGATAATTGTGTAGATATTGAAGATGAAGAATTACTGAATGAAGAAGTTTATCAGCAAAAGGAAGCTGAATTTAATACTTTGTACACCAATGACCAACAAAATATTATTGAGGTGTCTCTACTTAGGGATAATGTTGAACCACAAAGTATTAACTACGATCATGCAAGTACNCTTGATCGTCTTGCTGGGCGTGCCTTCTATTGTTTCTTGGATGGATATTCTGGGTACAACCAAATCTTGATTGCTCCGGAGGATCAGGAGAAGACTATATTTACTTGTCCATATGGCACCTTTGCCTTTTCTCGGATGCCTTTTGGATTGTGTAATGCACCGGCAACATTCCAACGGTGTATGATGGCCATTTTCACCGATATGGTGGAAGATATTTTGGAGATGTTCATGGACGACTTTAGTGTGGTGGGTGATTCATTTAATGAATGTTTGAAAAATCTGGATAGAGTGTTGGCCCGTTGTGAAGACACCGATCTTGTGCTCAATTGGGAAAAATGTCACTTCATGGTTGAGGAGGGCATAGTGTTGGGTCATAAAATTTAAAAGCATGGCATAGAGGTAGACAAGGCCAAAATAGAGGTGATTTCAAGGATTCCTCCCCCACTTCTATCAAGGGGGTTAGAAGTTTTCTTGGGCATGCAGGGTTCTACCGGAGATTTATCAAGGAATTTTCGGAGGTAGTGAATCCTTTTTGCAAGCTACTAGAAAAGGATGCCAAGTTCGTGTTCGATGAGGGATGTATGCAAGCATTTGAACTTCTCAAGCATACGTTGACCACCACCCCTATCATTACCGCACCCAATTGGAGCTTGCCTTTCGAGCTCATGTGCGACGCGAGTGATGTTGCGGTTAGGGCAGTTTTGGGTCAAAGAGTGAACAAAATGTGTTCATGCGGTGTACTACGCGAGCAAGATAATGAATGAGGCTCAAAGGAACTACATGGTTACTGAGAAAGAGTTGTTGGCTATTGTATTCGCAATGGAAAAATTTCGGCCATATCTCATGGGAGCCAAGGTCATAGTGCACACTGATCATGCAACTCCTAGATATTTGATAACGAAGAAAGACTCCAAATCTAGGCTGATGCGATGGGTCTTGTTACTTCAAGAGTTTGATTTAGAAATTGTGGACCCGAAAGGTAGTGAAAACTAAGTGGCGGACCACTTGTCCCGCTTGGAGGAGGAAGGGAGGCCGTGTGATGGCCTGGAGATCAATGATGCATTTCCCGATGAGCAGCTACTTTCTGTCAATGAGTGATATGCCATGGTTTGCGGATGTTTCTAATTACCTTGTGACTGGTATAATCCCGCGTGAGCTCTCTTCTAACCAAAGGAAGAAGCTCAAACGGGATAGTTTGGATTTCTATTGGGATGAGCCGTACTTATTCAAGATTTGCACCGATGAGTGATCAGGAGGTGTGTCCCTAAGGAGGAGCAGTTGAGTATCTTAGAGGCTTGTCATTCCTCTCCCTATGGTGGCCATCATGGTGGGGCGAGGACAGCTTCGAAGGTTCTGAGTTGTGGGTTTTATTGGCCAACTTCGTATAAAGATGCAAGTGATCTTGTGAAGAGGCGTGACGAATGTCAAAGAGCGGGTGGTATTTCGAAGAAAGATGAGATGCCCCTCAACACCATTCTAGAAGTGGATATTTTTGATGTGTGGGGTATTGAATTTATGGGCCCATTTGTAAGCTCGTGCGGGAACACCTACATTCTAGTGGCAGTTGACTATGTTTCAAAATGGGTCAAGGCCGTGGCTTTGCCCAACAATGAAGCTAGGAGTATGGTTGCGTTTCTCAAAAAGAGCATTTTTACAAGGTTTGGCACTCCTCGTGCTATCATAAGTGATGGGGGGTCGCACTTTTGCAATAGAGCTTTTGACATCTTGCTTGCAAAGTATGGTGTCAACCACAAAGTTTCTACTCCTTATCATCCTCAGGCGAGTGGCCAAGTGGAAGTCTCAAACAGGAAAATCAAGAGTATTCTGTCTAAAACGGTCAATGCAAATAGGACCGATTGGTCTAAGAAGTTGGATGATGCTCTATGGGCTTACAACAATGCTTATAAGACTCCGACTGGTATGTCTCTGTATCGATTGGTGTTTGGGAAAGCTTGCCATCTACCGGTTGAGTTAGAGCACAAGGCCATGTGGGCTTTGAGGAAATTGAACCTTGAATGGGATGTGGCAGCAAATCTTCGTGTGGAGCAGCTTAACTAACTTGATGAATTTCGATTCCATGCCTACTCCAGTTCATCCTTGTACAAGGACAAGATGAAGTACCTTCATGATAAATATGCTCGTGGCAAGGAGTTCAAAGTGGGTGATTTGGTTCTCTTGTTCAACTCTCGGTTACGTTTGTTTCCGGGAAAGCTGAAATCAAAATGGAGTGGACCTTTTGAAGTGGTGTTTGTGACTCCGTTTGGTGCACTTGATTTGAAGAATAAAAATGGGGAGGTATTCAGAGGCAATGGGCACAGGGTCAAGCACTACCTGGGAAAAATTGATGACAGCCACGTGGTTGGCACTCCTTCATCTAAAGTGATTTGATGGTAACATGCATCGTGCCACGATGTTAAATCAGGCGCTTCTTGGGAGTTAACCCATGTGTTTTTCTTTTCATTTTTCTTTGATTTTCATTGTAGTATAGGATTTATTTTTGGACTGACTGGTTGTGAGATGCTACAGGAGTGTGTTGATGTAGTGCAGGACAAAGTGGAAAAGAATTGATCAAGTCTCTGAAGTTTGATGTGCGGACCGCACTACATCTTGTGCGGCCGTAAAGAACGTAGTGCGGGGGAACAAAATCAGTGCGGACCGCACTGATGTTGATGATGAAATCCAACTCTTTGAAGTTTTCCACCGCGGTCGCATTACATTTTGTGCGGTCCGTGGTGGACCATTGTGGCCGCATTACATTTTGTGTGGTCCGCAGTGTTTGCCTTCTCAAACTTACATGATCTTGTGTAATGTGGACCGCAATACTATTTTGTGCGGTTCGCGGTGGGTAAGTCAGCTGGGGCCCAGGACCTTTTTCTATAAATAGGACCTGAGGCCCTCCATTTGAACTTTTTGATCTCTGTACTCTCAAGCCCTAAAAATTCATTGTTCATCACTAAAAATTGCACGAATTCATCTGCTTAGTCTCAATTAATCATCAGTGCATCTCATTTCTAGTAACTTTAATTCCTTTTTAGGATTTTAAATTTTGCTATTTTCTTTTGATTTTCATTTTTCTCTTAATTTTTC